GGGGGGACATAGTCCTGAAAGGATTAAAGAAGGACAGATTGATGTCTGATTGACTAGTTCAGGCTGAGAGATATATTTGAGACACAGAGAGTAGAAAGGTTTTCAAGTTGTATGAATAGAGGAAGGTTGGAACCATTCACAAAAATTGGAAAAATAGGAGGAGTGGCTTTGTAGGGAAATAAATAGCGAGCTCAGTCTCATAATTTAAAATTTGAGGTGTTCCAATGGCCTGATTCCGTTTATGAAGAGTTTTCCCACAGTCATGGTATAGATTCATCATATGGAGTCATTGAACATACTCATCATTCAGAAGGCATAATAAATATAGAAATACATTGTTTTCTGAGACAACTTATAAACTGAAAGACAGTACCTACTTTTAAAATCATTGCCTTAAAATGGTTTACTTCCTATGTCAGCCACACACGCTTAGCTTACTCTTTACCCTTAAGATAACAGAAGATGACCAAATAAAAATGATATATTATTCTTCTCTATACATTGTTTCAAAATTAACAAAAGTAAGTTAAAATTCAGTTTAAAAAATATTTTCCAAGCTTTCTTTTTTCACATGTGTATTTTTATAAAAAGTAAAATTGTATTTATATATATTTATCAAGAAAATGTAGGAGAACATAAGGGTGAACATGAACTTTTAATGATGCTTACAGTTTAAGATTGCTCCGGTAAAAATCAAAATTACTTAAAAATTTATTTGAAATAGTCTATTTTCTTAAGGAATAGATATAAGATAGTAACTGAATAATTTTGCACCCATTGTCTTTACATTACTAAAAAAGAAGCATTGAGAATTTTCAATCCAAGAAAATATTTCAATTGTGAGAGAAAAGTGTATTTTAAAGAAGTATTCTCAAAGGGATATAGTTTTAAGTTTTACATTTAATCGGTCATCTTCACTTGGGTACCACTGAGACATGTCTAACTTTTAAAAATATAGCAATCACTTAGAGCTTGACTTTAGCCTAAGTATAACACATAGAAGTTAAGTCATTCTAAGCTGCCTACCCAGTTGTGGTCATAATACATTAGTTTGAACCCTCATTCTGCAATGTGGGGTCTTAGCAAATTAATGGTTAGTTCTATCTTGGGTCTATCTATAAGATGCAGAATCAAACAGGCTTTCCTTGAAAAGTTCTTAGTCAAGTTAAAGTTTGCATTGAAAAGTATTCACCGTGAAGATCTGGATGTAGCTCAAACTTTTATCATGAATAGACTTTTTTAACCTCTTTGGGAAACAGCTCACCCATTATAACATGGAAATAACAATGCATGCCACATTAGATCACAATTGTTAATGGTCATTAATATACATGTCAGAACTCTCAGGCATTCCATACCTTTAATACTCAACACATCAAAATATAGGAAATTCATGCACAGTTGAAATAAAGACCTTCTCCAAAGATGTATTTATCATGTGCAAAACGTATGCTGCTTCTGGACCTCCCTCATGAGGCCTCTGTGGGATTTTCTAATTCCTATCCATATATGTTAATAGTGTGATTGGATTCTAAGTGTTTGACCAGCTCTGTGACTATATTCTAAATATTGTCATTACACATCATTTGATTTTTCTTGACTTAAGGAAACTTTATTACCAGTTTGTTAATTTAGGTGGTTCCTCATTCTTTTATATTATCTCTCTTCCCATAGGATTCTCAATAGGATTACAATTTACTAAACAGATTTTTCCACCACAGGTTAATTTTTAGTCAATCCCAGCATTAACAACATATGCTTGGCAAAAGGGCTATAAAAAAAAAAGTAAAAACAAGAAAAAAGGAATTATGTGTAAGGATGGGAAGAGTAATATGATGGCAACATGCAACACTCAAACAAAGAAAAGCTTTACCAAAGTGGGACATCAGCCACTCAGTGTAAGACAACCCCTAGGAATGGGTACCGATTGGGTTTCCACAAGGTGGACTTCTCTGATGAGGATTCCTAACCTGGTATCTTAGAACTTGAAGGTAAGAAACATAGTTTTGCTTCTTTGTTTTCCCCTCCATGATCCCTCACACAGTAACTTGAGAAGGATAGGTATACAATAAAAGTTTGTGCTGATTAAATGAGTTAATAAATTAATAAATATCTAGACTAATGAATAGTAAAATTTATCACAAAAGGAAATCTTTATTTTGGGAGATCAGCTAGAAATGGTTTGCCTCAAATGTCTTTTAGGCTTCCAGATACATTTCATGTTATTGCAATATAGCAGATGTAAATATTTTGAATTTAAATTTGAAGAGAAGTCCAGGAAAATCTTTAGTTATTTGTAGAGTAATTAATGGTTCTCAAACAATAGGGAACTATGTCTTTTTGTCTACTGTTAAACTAATGGTCTTAAATAATCAATATAGAAATGCTACAATTTTGGGGGTGTCTGCGTGGCTCAGTCAGAAAAGCCTTTGACACTTGACTTTGGCTCAGGTCATGATCTCACAGTTTGTGAGTTTGAGCCCCCTGTTGGGCTTTGTGCTGACAGCACAGAGCCTGCTTATGATTCTCTCTCTTTCCTTCTCTCTGCCCCTCCTCGCTCATGTGTGCTCTCTCTCTCTCTCAAAATAAATAAGTAAACTTAAAAAAAATAATATTAAAAAACAAAGAAGTGCTGCGATTTTCAAACTTAGCTATCTGGAAACTTGTGTCTCTCTAATCTGTATTGAATCTATTTAATGTCTGTCAATATTTTGTATGAAAATTAATTTTAATATTATAATAAACATTTCTACTTAGGCATTTTTAATAACCCATAACTATAAAACTCTAGTATTTTAAAAATGATTTAAAAATTGACTGTCTAAGGTTATGAATAGTAGCACTTGACTAGTTTTAGGCTAATTTTTTTTTTTAGTGGAAGCGAGTGCAAAAAGCATCTGGTAATTTTCGATGTTGACTGGAAAGGAGATCTGAGTTCCTTCCCAGCCTGGTCATTCAATTGTTTTGTGACCTTCAGAAAACTCACTAAATCTTTCCATTATTCTGTTTAACATTTTTGCAAATGTCCCTGTTTTTTTTTATGATTCTTTCTCTCCTATGACTCCTATTCTTAAAGATTTATAAATTAGCACCAATGCTT